CGTGAAATGAAACGACCGTTCCTCGGTCCATTATCATTAGAGTGGCCAATAATCAAGGTAATTAAACTATCTTGCTCATATTGGCCAATTATTACAGAAACATTCTAGTGAATTCCTTGCTAAACAACATCTCTTTTTTTAATTCCCTTCTTACCAAAGACCATGTTCTCATAAAAACAGATAGGTAAATAGAAACAAAATCCCACCCCGATCCATTGTTTTATCTCTTCTTCTAGTAATCCCAGTGAAGAGATCAAAACTTTTGGAAAATGATCAGGAACTGGGAGATCAAGCTTAGTGAAAGCTGGAAAAGCTTCTGTTCACACGCAAATACACAATTCAGCATAGAGTGAGATGGGAGACCACCAAGGAGCCTGCGGCAATAGTTCAATTACTGTGAATTTGGGACTTCACAATGGCTTCGAGGACACGGACAGGATAGTACTACTTGGCAATTTCTACTTTACTCAACACTGCCTGGACAATAAAACTAGATATGCAAAAGGAGGGGAGAAGATGCATTCTTCATCTTCTCGTAAAACAAAGTCAAACTCAGATTTTACTTCCACTTCCTCTTTCCAATTAATCTCAATCTCTTCCCATCAGGCCAGAGGTACAAATATTCTTGTCTCCTAACTCCTGTCAAAAATCTTTAGCAATGTTTTAGCCTTGAAAAACAGTGAAAGATACCAAAAAAAAAAAAAAAGTCAAGGAAGGGCTTATTAGTCTGGGAACTAGAAGGACCATTACAAGTTGGGATAAAACATTTTCAGAAGTTTATCCCATTGGGAACTTAAAAGAGTGGGGAGCTGTGGCTGCAGAGAAGGAGCTGGGGGGAAGAATGAGTAAAGAAATACAGCAAGAGCAAGTAATTGCCCTCTAGGGATCCTTGGGTTCTGAAAAGTTATCAGCTACGACTGACAAAGTAAAACCTCCATCCCCACGAAGAGATGGACAACTGCTTCAAGAACTTCCTGAAAGATGTGCTGCTTCCCCATCCAAAGTGAGTTCTGTGCATAAGGTCAGCACTCGGCCTTCCACAGGGAAGGATGGGAGGAGGTCGGGAACGTAGAGCAACCAGGACTGTCCTGGGGCCCTTCACTGTGCTTCTCTCACGGGTTGCAGTTGGCAGCACTTCGATTCTTCCAGTGATCTGTACACGGCACCTGGTTGTTTGTGGACCACTCAACAGAATCCTCAGTCTTGGTCAGTCATCCAAGCAACGGTATAAACTGAAGTGCTCAGTGTACACAGACCTACATTCAAAGAGCTGAAGAGAGGAGATCAAAAGAGATAAGGCTTTTTCTCTTAGCCTCAAGGCATTTGCATTATGCGGGAGATAAGAAGAGGAGTGGAGAAGGTGGGATTTGAAAAGATATGGACCCCTTCTTTTCTCAAGTTTGGCCTCTGGGCTGGTAGATAGGGATTACCTACTCTAGGAATTGTCTGGGACCAACTTTGGAAAGAAGATCGTGTATCAAAAGCCCACAAGTCTTTCAGCCTTGACCCAAGTGGTTCTCCTGTTTCTATTTGTTTGGTCCCTTTCCTGTTACTTTAGTCTCTGGTTTTTAAGTCAGTGTGGTCTTATTCACTGGCACCTCCCCAAACAGTTACGCTTGATATAAATGCTTTGATCCCCGAACCCAGTAACCCACATCTTACTGCCTACACTAGCTACACGTACTGAAAGTAGCCAAAGGCCAAAGGTACCCCCATCTTTTTATATTGCTTTAAAGTATAGCTTATGTGAGTGTATTCATTCATTGCAGGTCTTTAGAGCTGGTAGAAATCTTGGTGTGACCTAACTTGCTCATTCTACACATAAAGAAATTATGGCTCAAAAAGGTAGTGACTTACAATGATACCTAGATGGTATACTGACACAGGGTGAAAACCAGGTCTCCTTAATACCAATCTAAATACACCTTAAACCACATCGATTTTTTCAAGAAGCAAGTACACTGGTCGTTTCTTTGCTTCTACTTTAGTATTTCTACATATTTGCGCAGTTACTTACATAGTCCAACTCTCTGTCTCCAGTTACCAGATTTGATACTCAAGCTTCCTCTGAAAACTCAGATAAAATCATAACTCATCCTCTCTATTCTCCTGCCAGGAGTTCCTGGAGACGGAGACCAGGCTGTATGGATTCCTCTCACTCCAGGACCTGTTCCTGGACCAGGCTCTATCTACTCCGTGCTCAGTAAATGTTCACTATGTCAAGCACGGTGGAAAGAAATTCAATGATTATCTCCAAAAGCTGAGAACAAGGGCATCTATTAATAAAAATTCATGTTTTTATCATCTAAGAACTGCATCAATTTTTATTGGAAAAAAAAGTATTGAGCTTATACTCTGTGAAGAAAATGGTACTACCTACTGGGTATAGACAGACTCTCTACCTTAATTCTTCACTTTATTTAAGCAGGATGTCTGTAATTAGGTGATTTAAGCAATAAGATATACTGCAAAGGAGCTTTATGACCCACATTCTGTTAACCTTCTGGCCTTTATAGCACAAATTCATATTGTTTCTTGTGCTCTTATCACCGGGCACATTGACCTCACTTTTTGAGTATAATAATAGCTACTTGTGTTCACTTAGGACTTCACAAAGCACACTGATCTTCATTTCTTCACCTGATCTTACTCAAAATATTGTGATAGGCATTATGATTATTCTCACATTTCAAATGAAGAAACTGAGGCACAGAGAGGTCAAGTGACTTTCCAAGGGCACAGAGCAGACTAATAGAAAAGGCAGACTGGGACCTGGATTCCTTGACTTCTCATTCAGATCTTCCCACTTACCACACAACATTTCTCTGCACGGCAAGGTAACTGTCCTGGGCGACCAAACGTCAGGTGCCTTCCTTCCTAGATCACATCCTTCTAGAAGCCCTTCTCATCCCTCACTAACGAGCCCAATGAGAACTGAGAATGTGCAGCACAGCATCACCTGGTTCCAGACTGGGTCCCAGGTAGACCTGACACCTTGGCCAATCACCTTACCCTTGTTCCTTGGTTTCCCCATCTATAGAATGAAATGGATGAAATACATGACCTCTATAGTTCCTTTCATTTTTAACATTTTTGAATTCCTTGTATAACAATAGGGCCCTTCTGGAGGGAATCTGGGTCCATGACAGCAACTCTGTAGGTGGGAATTCTGGATGCTGTAGCAGCCTCCTGATTGTAGTAGATCAGAGCTGAGTTGTCTTCTCTGCTGGTACAAGGACCAGGGTCTACGGGCAGCCACAGGCTCTCTGGGGCAGTGCTCAGAATCCCAGCCACCAAATACTGCACTCTGGCCCCAGAACTCCAGTCTCCAATGCTGAGAACCTAAAGCCAGTTTCTATTCTTAGCAGTTTCTACACTGACACCTGCTGGCCACTGTAGGACCAGAGCTGAATGAAAAGCAAGAGATGCCTGCTCCATCCAGGTTCTTGGCTCTCCCTCCATCGGTAAGAGCCCAGGCCCTGCCCCAGCCAGAGAGAATCTGAACTGGAGGAGGAGTTTCAGTTCTGTTGTATTTGATTACGTGGCCCCGCTCTGCTTTTCTTAACACTGACATAATGCATCTGTCCTTTGTTAGGCTGTCTCATTTGATTCTCACAGATTTTACCAAGATCTGACTTTTTTAACTTCTTATTTGATTCTGTGGCACTTGATTTTCAAACAAATTCCTAACATTGAAAGGCAGTATTTCCTAGAGATTGACTGAAAGCATAGTGCCTCATATATTGAATAAATATTTTTAATAACTGAGTTACTTAATTTACTAATTACTTTAAGAGCACGAATTACACCTTGAGATTACATTTCTATAAAGAAAACCTGATGACATCTAATTCTGTGTTTATAGAAGACCGGTCCGCATGTTGGAGGAGAGATAACCCAATGCAGACTTAGCTGAGAAAAAAGCACTCACTCCCCCTGAAAAGATTCAGTGGGTGTCACTTCATACTCAGTAGTAACATGTAAATATCATTGGTTTCCAAATGCTCTCATTATATTTATTTTGTTAATCATTTATTCAAACATCTAAATTAATGCCTGCAATTTACCATATAAATAACACATTATTGAGAAATAAGACATAATTGTAGTCATAATTTAAATAAAGCTGCAAATTTAATTAACCAACTAGTAACCTTATTCTTTCCCTTCATAGCACTTAGCACAATTATACTTTATTAATTTTGTAATTATTAGTTTAATCTATGTGTCTCTGATTAAATTATAAGAACCAAGGAGCAGGACTCATGCTTCTTTCTGGCTCACTGACAGGTGTCTGATGTCTAGCACAGTCCCAGGCACATAGCAGGGGCTTAACAGATGCTGGTTTAAAGGATCTAAGCTTCATCCAGACTGATGGGCACAATGTGAATGAAGTGTGAGGACTCCTTTCTCAGCAGTGACCTCGACTGGACCCCAGAAGAAACATGAAGAGTAAATGAATTCAGTCTTTTAGGAATGACACTGAGGACCCCAGGCACCCACCTTGGTCTCAAGTGTCTGTTTTAACACTTTCCCCCGGGCCACCCCACCCTGAAGACTCCTCCCCTTCTTCCCTGCCTTCCACTTCCCTTCCCTCCTTTTTTGTTTCCTTACCTTTCTTCCTTAGTTCTTCTTTCTCGTTTACTTTTTTTTTAAACTTTCCTCCGTTTCTCCCTTTTCCCCACCACTTTTTCCCTCTATCTTTCCTTCTGCACTGATGGCTTATCTCCTATACAACTGTAACTGCACTGGATCCTGATGTAAAAGGATGACCAGAACAGGGACTTCATCCCTGAGTCTAGCATGAGAACCCAAATGCCCTTTTCCACACCTTCTCCACTGAATTCTCCCCTAAGCACTAGGTTAAGGAACATGAGGGCAGGTGCCCCAATCCCAGCTCTAGTCTTGGCCCATGCCTTAATCCCAGACTCCTAAAGTGAGACCTTTTCTTGCCCCTCCCTGTCTCTGCTCCTCCCCTGGCAGCCTGACCCACCTGCTCCATGAGGACGGACAACCTGACCTGGGTGAGTGAGTTTGTCCTAATGGGACTCTCCAGGGACAGGCAGATACAGGCTGGACTCTTTGTCCTGTTTGGGGCCGCCTATCTGCTGACCTTGCTGGGCAACGGGCTCATCATCCTCCTGATCTGGCTGGACGCCCGCCTCCACCTGCCCATGTACTTCTTCCTCTGCCACCTCTCCGTAGTGGACATCTGCTACACCACCAGCGGGGTCCCCCAGATGCTGGCGCACTTCCTCCTGTAGAAGAAGGCCATCTCCTTCACCCGATGTGGAACCCAGCACTTCTTCTCCCTGACCCTGGGGGGGACTGAGTTCCTGCTGCTGGCAGCAATGGCCTATGACCGCTACGTGGCCGTCTGTGACCCCCCGCGCTACGCGGCAGTGATGGGCCCCAGGCTCTGCACTCCAGGGCTGGCAGCGGCCTCTTGGCTGGTGGGCCTGGTTAATGCTGTGGTGGAGACCGCCTTCGCCTTGCGTCTGCCCACTTGCGGGCGCCACGTGTTGAACCATGTGGCCTGCGAGACAATGGCACTCGTCAGGTTGGCCTGCGTGGACATCACCCTCAACCAAGCGGTCATAGTGGCCTCCAGCGTGGTGGTGCTGCTGGTGCCCTGCTGCCTGGTCGCACTGTCCTATGCCTACATCATGGCCGCCATTCTGCGGATTCGCTCCACCGGGGGACGCCGCAAAGCCTTCAGGACCTGCGCCTCCCACCTCACTGTGGTCTCCATGTCTTACGGGACAGCCCTGGTCACCCACATGCAGCCCGGCTCCACAGTGTCAGCCGAGCAGGACAAGACGGTGGTGCTGTTTTACGCTGTGGTGACCCCCATGTTGAATCCGCTCATCTACAGCCTCAGGAACAAAGAGATGAAAGCTGCTTTGACTCGGGTTCTGATGAGGAGCTCTGAATCAAAGCAGTAGACTGTGACCTCGTCACAAGAGGGCCTCACTCTGAAGACGGTGAGCCCGGGAGTGTGCCCTCGGCATAATGCACGCATGTGGGGGGGGGGGCACGTGTGTGTGAAGGAGCAGGTGGGAGGACCACAGTCTGCACTACTATCTTTTGAAGTAATACAGAAAATGGAATTTTATCTCTGGGCTCTATTTTTGGTCCCTTAGTCTAAAAAATGTGAATTACAACAACTTAGAAATACATACACCTTACGGAAAATTATAGTTAAAAGAAAGATACACTGGCATATATGAATTAAAAAGGAAGAATAAATCAGAAGCCAGCGCAGTGCACAACATTTATGCCAAGAAAATCTATTCCCTGAATTCTACAACTATATGTCTAAGTTTTCTGCAATCAGTAACGAAAAGAGGGAAAAGGCTGTAAGTTACAAAATTCACTATGCCCATGGGATCTTAGGCCATAAAGGTCATCCATGTGGTCACACGTGGTCCATTCCAGCTCAGTAGGGTGAGGAATTCACACAGGAACTTGGAGCCAGAGTCATGGTAATGATCCCCAGAGCCTTGATGAGCAGGACTGGACAGGGTGTGAGTCATACAAACATCATTCTGCTCGTTTCCCTTTCAATCTTGGCAGTGGTGGCAAGTGGCTGGCCCAAAAATCAAACATTTTTAACCACAAATACCTTTCTACACAATCAGGTCCAAGAATATACTCTTATGAAAACTGAGGGATGTATTCAGAACTCATGTTTGACTAAATGTCGTGCCACATGCCATCAGAGGTAAGCTAAGCCACATAAAAAGGAAAGAATCACAACTCTCCGTTAGTGATAATTTCACTCTACTATTCCAATACATGATGAATGATGGAGCTCTAAACGTCCTAGAATATAAACTGAGAATAAAGTGAGGCAATGATATTTTATCCAAAAAAATGTTTAAAACAACTTCTAAAAATCAGAATGAAGCATCTCTTAACTAAAAATTACAGATCTCTGGTTTGTCTTGCCCACAAACAAACATAAATTGAGAAAATGCTGAGGAGGAGGAGGAGGAAATGAAGAACCTTTGAAAATTCCTAATAATTTTTTTTAATCAAGATAAAATTTACATCACATACAACTCACGACCTTAACCATTTAAATTGTATGATTCAGTGACGTTTAGTATATTCACAGTGTTGTAGAACCTCATGTCCATCTAGTTCCAAAACATTTTCATCACCCAAAAAGGGCACTTCATACCATTTAAGCAGTTGGTCCCCATTCCTCCCTCCTCCCAGGCCCTTACTACCACTGTTCTGCATTCTGTCTTTATGGATTTGCCTGTTCTGGACATTTCATATAAATAGAATCATACAATATGTGACATTTTGGGTCTGGCTTCTTGCACTTAGTATAATGTTTTTGAGGTCTATCCATCTTGTAACATCGAGCAAGGCTCCATGCCTTTTTATGGCTGAATAATATTCCCTTGAGTGAAAACAATCACATTTTGTTGATCTGTTCATCGGGTGATACACATCTGGGTTGTTTCTACCTTTGGGCTCTTGTGAATAGTGCTGCTAGAAACATTCACGTGCAAGTTTTGGTTTGAAAACCTGTTTTCAGCTCTCCGGGTACATATCCTGCAGCGGAATTGCTGAGTCATACGGTAACTGTATGTTTACCTTTTTAAGGAAATGCCAACTTGTTCTCTGCCATAACAGAACCATTTTACATTCCCACCAGCAATGAATGAGGGTTTGAATTTCTCCACTTCCTCAGCGACACTTATGCTGTGTTTCTTGACTACAGCCGTTCCAGCGGGTGTGAAGTGACATGCTAGGGTGTTTTTAATTTGCATGTCCCTAGTGACTAATGATACTGAGCATCTTTTCATGTGTGTGTTGGCCATTTGTACATCTTCTTTGGAGAAATGTCCGGAAAAACTTTTGTTTTTAATTTTATTGAAGACCTCTCCTTCCCTTCCTTCCCCTAAGCATTAGCATCTCTCACTCACTCCCTCAGCCCCTTCCCACCTCCTACTCCCCTACCACCACGACCACCAGCCTCCATTCTCCTCTTCTTCCCCTCCCTGGTCCTCTCCGCCACTGCTCCCACCCTCATCTGAGGCACTCAGCCCCATACCCCAGGGAAAAACTTTTTAGCACTTGTGTCTAGGCCCCTCTCATTTTTAGACTATTAATTTCTCCCCCCAAATCAACAGATCATCTTTTCCTTTCTCTATTCCTTTTCAAAATTCTCTCCCCCAACCAAAGCCTCCACTTTGCCCAGTGTCTGCATTTCCTACAGCAAAGAAACCACAGGAGTTCTTCCTCCTTAGTTAGTGAAAGAACAAACTGGAAACACTTATACTTCTGTACATTTTTCTTTACCATCATCACATGCCTGTGGAACATCAGCTTTGCGCAGTGTGATATTCTAGCACATTTTCTAACACAGCCTGGCTACAAAGTGCTCACCAAATAGTTGTGTGCAAACAAACTTTGTGTATGAGGTTTGATAAAAACCAGTTAAAAGTTTGAAGGTGTCAGTCAGTAACACTGATGTTAGTTCTACACTTGAGCTGCAATTCTTCATTAAATTGTTATCTAGTTGGGACAATCATCTACTGACACCTTCTAATCCTAATAATTAAAATGTATTTTTGTACATAAAATAAAACTTAGATTCTGCTGTCTACAGCAGGAGTGCATACATCTAGTTCATCCAAAGAAGGTATCACTTCATTAGGTTGCAGGTTAGAAAAAGGGTGATTCAAAGGATTTTCCTACTTACCCCATTGTTTGAGTTCTGGAGCTTGGGGGGCGGGGGGAATTGGCCCTTGTCTCATTAGAGACTCAATGTATTTAAAGGGCTCTCACTAATCAGGAGGAAACAACCATTTGGTCCCTCAAGAGACCCTCCTGAGTAGAGTCATTCTTGAGCTGGTATCACAGAGCAGACTCTGTGAAAACATCAATAATCAGGTGCTACACTGAGGTTTACATGAGAGAATGAATTTTAAAGACATGACTGCTCAATATGATGTTCATTTATTCATTCAGTTCACCAACTCTATATGCCAAGCTCTGTTAGAAACTAGAAAGAGCACAATAAAAAGAGAAGACACCCTCTCTACCCTTCAAGCAGTTTGTTTATTAGAAGTCAGAAAAGGGCAGTGAAGGAGTCGGGCTCAGTGGACAGGGTTTCCTGGTTCTCCTCTGGGCTTCAGAGAAAGCTGAGAGCCCAGGTGTGGGGGCTCTATCCTCCCACCACGCGATGGGGTGACCTCCAGCCCACTGATCTGTGCAAACTACTCTTCAGCCTGTTCCCCTGAGTTACTTTGTGGCAGTTCCAAGTCTCTACTGGCCCACCAGGAGCAAAATAATACCCCAAACACTGCACCTTTCCCGACCGCCCCCTCTCCTCACAAACCAAAGCTGCCCTACTCTCATTCTGTGGGGATACTGCTCCGCACTGGTTACTACGATATACTCTTCCTGCTCCAGGTGATGAGACAAGGTGACGTAGCAGGAAGAACAGGGGACTGTGGTCCTCAGATTTCAGATCCAGTTCCAGCTTTGCTCCCACCGGGCAGAGTGACTGTGAGTGAATCACTTCTGCCTTCGGAGCCTCAGTTTCCTCATTTGAAAATCAATAAGGTTGAAATGATGATCCTGTATCTTCCTTCCAGCTTCCATTCTTTTCTGTTACTCCCACTTTCCATTTTATTCCCATCAATGATGAAAATCTCAGTTGTCGTTCTCAGGAGCCACATTCAGGGAACTAAAGCTTGGTTATTTACTGCACTGATGAAAGAGGTAGGCTCTGTGGAAAGCCAGGGGCTTCCATCCGAGGTGCAGGGCTCAGAAACTCAGCTGGGGATTGTGCCAAAGCCCATTTCTATTTTTGGCATCTTCTACAGTGACACCTTCCAGCCACTAAAGGACTGAAAGAAGGAAACGGGTAGTTTCCAACCAGCTAAGAGGGTCCAACAGAGGACAGTATCCCGCTGACCTGCCCTCCCCTCACCCATCTTCCAATCACAAGCTCTATCTTCAAACCCTGTTAGAAGGACTTGTGTTGAATTGTTTTTTTCATTTCCATTTCATTGGATTCTATGGCCTATCTCTCATACCTTTAACACAAATCATTTTTATTTAGATAATGCTCTGAAGTATTGAAGGGCTTTCTCACACATTATCTCATTTTATACTCACTAATTACCCCCTGGGCCTAAGATATTCTAAACCATTGGTTTTGGACCAGACCTCTGAAAGCTGAGGCTAAAGGGAGACCTAGCACACAAAAGGCAAGATCTCCAGGCTGACTTTTTCACTGATTCAGAAGGATTTGAGGCAAATCATTTAAACTTCCTTGGCTTCAACTTTTTTAAACAACGAATGAGAAGTTTAGGTCAAAGATTTTTCCTCCTCAGAGACTCTTCTGGGTTTGTATCAAAACATATCCCTCTCTCAAAAAACATGTCTTGAGTCTTCAAAATTAAAGTTAAAATTTCCTTCTAAAGCAGTGATTTTCAAACCTATAATTAAAATTTTACATTTTTATCACAAGGAAACATTAAAAGCTACTAATACACTAATGTCTGCGTTTCACCCATCTGAGATTCTGATTTAATTACTCTGGAGTTGGGGCTGGGCTCTTAGAGTTTTCAAAGCACCCAGGTAATTCCAGTGTGAGCTGGTGTGGAAAGCACCGCTCTGGCTCCCACCACGGGTCCTGTGGGGTTTGCACGGATGAACCCTCTCATCTGAAGTTTCTTCTTTCCCTCTCAAATGTCCCCTAATGGGCATCCAGGTGGGCTTTTCCAGCAGTCAGATGCTTCTCCATGCCTCTGTGTTCTGTCCTTATCTTCATCCTAGCCAACAGCACTATCTTCTCCCAACATGTTGCAAAGACACATAAAGTGAATATTGAAATGGGGCCAGAGGGTCTTATTAATAAACAGAGACATAAAGACTATAAAATTTTTAGCACCTTTTCACGAAGGGGGAGAAA